ACAGACAAATTATTATCCTTCAACCTAGAAATTAATGAAAATGGAACAGAAGAATATCTATTAGGAAGGAATACAAATCGAAAATGGGGACACTGTAAATATATCGGGAGTAATCTTGACACAGTCAGTGAGGGACATAAAAAGAAGAAAATGACTAGCATCTATGGCTTATTATAAGTTAAAATCATCACTAGAAAACAGAAACATGACCAAAGAAGTAATGTGCCGACTGTTTGACGCGTACGTTGCAAGTATTTTCTTTTTATAAACAGTGAACTTTGGGTCCTGAACAAGAATTTAAAGGAAAGCATTGACATCTATCACAGGAAAATGCTACGAAAGATGCTAAACAATAAATTAACCGATAAGGTTAGTAATGCAAGGCTATACATCATAACGAAACAGGGGGAATGGAGCATAAGAATTGAATCAGAAGACTAAAATGGTAAGGAAAGATTACCGGACGAAACACCAGTCAAACAAACGAATAGAGAGCTAAGAGGAATGTAAAACAACCAGTAGGCAGACCCCAAAATAACTGGATGAGCCAATTAAAAAAAACACCTGAAGGACATATAAATACAAACACTATAACAAATCATCTTGCCTTGAATAGAAACAAATGGTAACAAATTGTGGCGTCCACTGTCAAGTTTTCTTATTGGTCAGTCAAAACTTGAAAATGTTCATTATTAACATATCATACAATATTTGTCCTGACACGTAATTGAATGACCAGAATTAGGCTATTTATAACCATAAAAAAAGAAATTCTGTTACTATTTTTCAACCCTGTATTATTCTTGTACTAATTATCATTGCAGCTATAGCTTGAGATAATTTTTCCTCTTGTTTTTACTTGATTTATTTCTATTTTTTTTATAAATAGCTGCTATTTTGTTTTAATTTATTTTTCTTCTTCCATCTTGATTTGTAAGTTTTTATGACCGGCACTTTGGACACTTTCCGTGCTTGAATCTTCTTCAAACATTTTCTACATGACATATATATTTTTACGCTTATGTCTAAAAAAATCTTTAAAAATAAATTCAACGCTTAAAAAACGACGTTTAGACTCAATCATGGAAAATGGTGTCTTGACAATAATTTAATCATGGACAATAAAACAATATTGTTTAGTGTTATTATTCGTATCAATATTTCTACTATGGTGGTTGTCTTAGTCTTCTTTGTATCCACCTTTACCTCACTTACCGTCACCGCCATTGTCATCGCTGTCGTGACGCATCGTTGTCATTCTTGTCTCGTCCTTCGACCTCACTAACCACTTTATCATTTTCTTGAATACTGCTGTTGATTGTACTTTTCGTTACAATTATTTTTGTCATTTTTATTTTTGTATCGTTGTCGTCGTCGTTGTTGCTATTTACTTTCGTCATGTCATACCCTTTGTAATTATCCTTATGTCTATCATTAATATAATAAGATTAATATTGCCCTTTCTTAAATTGAAACAATGTTTATGCACGCAATGGAACAAAAACACGCAGTTAACAGCCAGTCTTGCACATAGATCTGAAATTCCAAAAGGTGTTTTTTCCCACACTCAATACACTCGTTTGTTACTAGAGATCAACGAATATTATCCGTAGAGCCTATCCGTGGTCAGTTCTGTCTCTCCCACGCATTAAAACAGCTAGAATGCTGATCAATGATATCTACATTAATGGCTGAATTGCTCAAATGTTGGTTTTATTGAAGTCGTTGCACGCCATGTTTGGAATAACAAAACGTCGCAAATACGTCATTAAAAAAGCATGACATCACCAAAAACACGACATCCTGTGAACATTTTGTTGCCCATGATAGGATTGTGACAGGATTGTGACAATTATTGATTTACATTAAAATTTACAAAATAAAATACTTAATAAAAAAAAAATACAAACTAAGTGCATGTATGTTGTTTTTCATTAATATTGATAAATTATTTATAGGATCTTCAAAATTACGTCTGCGGATGAATAATATTAAGCACCTGTCTAGTACTGCCTGTGAAGCTAGGTGGTGCCACAGATCAAGGCGCAAGATAATTTTGTGCAATCAGCAGTTGTTTCATGATAAGCTAAACATTGCTATTTGGCTAATCTCGAATAATTTTTTATGAACTACACTTATCTGATATTAGGCTTGCATAGGGTAGCATTTCTGAATCTTATAATACGTTTTTAATTCAATGGCATTTCTATTTTGAAAAGCTAGGATCGCGTTTAAAAGAGAATCGAGAGTCAAACCTCTTTCCTTTCTATATTTTTTGAAGCTGTGGAGTTGTAAAAATATGAGACATACCAATTCTTCTACATTAACTTCGAGTAACAAAAAGAAGCAATTAACACAAAGTAAAGCGATGACCAAGTGGCGCAGGATTTTATATCTCTCCGAGTTTCTTAAATCTCTGAAATATAAATAACCAAAATTGTAAGTTTAATTGCTTACTACTCAAATTATACTTAAAATGAATGATTTCCCAAAAACATAAACAGAGAGAAGGACATTTATTTAAAAAAAAACATAATTTTGGGTAACATTCCGGGACATCGCCGTCTATGTAAAATTATTCGATGAATATAAGATATAAATTACCAGATAATTTTTTTACTTAAATTTTCTTTTTGAAAACACAACATTTATGTAATATTTTTATTTAATGATTAATACTGACATAAAATATAAAATAATTATCCCAACTTACTTGAAAACACAGATGGTGACGAGAGTAATTATGAGAAACACGATTGAAATTGACAACCCAACTTGTGTAAGCAAGGACAAAATGTTGTTCTCGTTTTTCTAGAAAATAATGAAATTGGATTATTACATAGGTTTGAACATGACTTACAACATTATACTACTGGTAGAGGGCTAATCGAGATTACTGAGGTTGTTAAACAAGCGTGTATTTTTATTATTTTAGTTATATATCCATAACGTCCTATTTGTTATAATTTTAGTACATACCTCCGGTTTCATCAAAATGACAAACGATGTTAGATGATCACATACACATTTCACGCCGTTTTCGACATAGTTTTTATTGTGAGTTTTACAGCCTTTAGTTAACCATTCACTTAAAAAATAATCAAAGTTTGTGAACTAACAGTTGATCAAGATGTAAACATGAAGTCACCTAAGCATGTTCAATCAATTGAATATACTGTAGTTTAAATTTAGTCAGCATTACGAGCTGGTAAATATATCTCCACAATCGAGTTTGGCTTTGTGTTCATTAGTGGTGTTCCAAGTGTGTCTGGCCTAAGCTCTGCTAAGCTGGTCTAACGTTTCGTACCCTAGCTGCACTGATAAGGCCTATAAAGGCCGAAACGGATCCGTCTGCAAATATTGGGATGTTTTCCATTGAATATTTTGTCATTCTGATCGGATTTTCTCTACTGTTCCGTTGAAATTACAACATGCTCTAAAGCTGCATGGACGCTATAGACGCCAGTCTATTTTTGTTATCGTTATAATATTTATTACCATTATTATGTTGTAATAATTTAAGAATATTTACTTACGCCAATAAGACATCTTCATCGTGTGTATAGTGACATACTGGTAACTGGTTCGCACTCGTACTATTTACCTTCATATATAGTTTGTTAAAAGAAATTTTTGTTAAGTCAACTTCTTCGACAAATTCCCATAAAGCATGACTACTCATGAAAACCACCTGAAAAAAATATCTCCCGGAAAAGGCTGTGTTTATTGGTAAACATTTAAGTGAATTAGGGTGTATATTTCGTACTTGATTTTCAATTTGTTTACAGCCAACAGCAAGTAATATTTCATTTCAGGTAACATTTATTTCGATAATAATGCAACAGATACAATTATAACAGTACAAAAAAAAAATGACAAAAAAATGGGAAAAAACATTATTATCATTGGGTCCTAGCTAGAAGTAGGTACTTGTCTCGCTAGGACCCAGTAAAGAGGTAGAAGGAAAATAAATTAAAAAAAAAATAAATAAAAACATATAAACAAGTGGACAGTAACGTTGCTTTAAAAATTTAGTATCTTTATGTAAGAAGAGGAATTCAACGGCGGCGGAAGCGGGGGGCCAGGGGAGCCATTGGCCAACACTTTTGTGATTGTTCCCAACACTAGTGACAAACATTTTACGAACGCTGCAATGTCATTATTATTATTATTATTATTATTATTATTATTATTATTATTATTATTATTATTATTATTATTATTATTATTATTATTATTATTATTATCATTATTATCATTATTATTATTATTATTATTATTATTATTATTATTATTTGGTGCTTACACCTTGTTTATTTGCGCCTTATAAATTGACGTAGTATTATTATTATAAAAACATAGATTTTTTTCATTTTCTAACCAACATTGCAAGTTCCCTTTTTGAGTTGAGCAACAAAGTGTTGATTGACGTCTGTAGACGTGCGTCTGTAAAGTTTCCTTGAAACCCAGCCTCGAGCATGAAGAAAAGATCGCCTGCATTCGTGAATTCTGTATTTAGGCAAATGGGGGGAAGGAGACACTCTTAATGGAGCGACGTTCTAGTTCTCTTTATGCTAACCACGAAGATGTATAGTAAGTGTAACTGATTGGCTTACAGTAAACCTTAAAAACTAGCGTAATATAACCACATTTAAACTCCATCTAATTTAACGAAAACAATAAGATAATTAGGCCATTTTCTAAAATAAAGTTCTCTGAAGGTTAACTACAGAATTTACAGTACACCTAATGTGTTGTAGGTTGTAAAAACTGTATTGATTAAAAAAAAATCTTTCGAATAAAAAATCTTTCGCTTGACATTAGGAATTAATCATTAGTGAAACAAAATGATAGGCATGTCAAGTGTTATATTGAACAGTGGCAGATTCAATGGGGAACCCAGTCAGCACGGGACCCCATTCTCCATTTTTTTTCAAAATAAAAAAAAATGGAGAAAACAGCTGTCTCTTATACACATCTAGATGTGTATAAGAGACAGCCTCCGGTTTCATCAAAATGACAAACGATGTTAGATGATCACATACACATTTCACGCCGTTTTCGACATAGTTTTTATTGTGAGTTTTACAGCCTTTAGTTAACCATTCACTTAAAAAATAATCAAAGTTTGTGAACTAACAGTTGATCAAGATGTAAACATGAAGTCACCAAAGCATGTTCAATCAATTGAATATACAGTAGTTTAAATTTAGTCAGCATTACGAGCTGGTAAATATATCTCCACAATCGAGTTTGGCTTTGTGTTCATTAGTGGTGTTCCAAGTGGGTCTGGCCTAAGCTCTGCTAAGCTGGTCTAACGTTTCGTCTGGGTTTGTACACTAGCTGCACTGATAAGGCCTATAAAGGCCGAAACGGATCCGTCTGCAAATACTGGGATTTTTTCCATTGAATATTTTGTCATTCTGATCGGACTTTCTCTACTGTTCCGTTGAAATTACAACATGCTCTAAAGCTGCATGGACGCTATAGACGCCAGTCTATTTTTGTTATCGTTATAATATTTATTACCATTATTATGTTATAATAATTTAAGAATATTTACTTACGCCAATATGACATCTTCATCGTGTGTATAGTGACATACCGGTAACTGATTCGCACTCGTATTATTTACCTTCATATATAGTTTGTTAAAAGAAATTTATGTTAAGTCAACTTCTTCGACAAATTCCAATAAAGCATGACTACTCATGAAAACCACCTGAAAAAAAATATCTCCCCGAAAAGGCTGTGTTTATTGGTAAACATTTAAGTGAATTAGGGTGTATATTTCGTACTTGATTTTCAATTTGTTTACAGCCAACAGCAAGTAATATTTCATTTCAGGTAACATTTATTTCGATAATAATGCAACAGATACAATTATAACAGTACAAAAAAAAATGACAAAAAATGGGAAAAAACATTATTATCATTGGGTCCTAGCTATAAATAGGTACTTGTCTCGCTAGGACGCAGTAAAGAGGTAGAAGGAAAATAAATTAAAAAAAAAAAAAAAATTAAAAACATGTAAACAAGTGGACAGTAACGTTGCTTTAAAAATTTAGTATCTTTATGTAAGAAGTGGAATTCAACGGCGGCGGAAGCGGGGGGCCAGGGGGGCCATTGGCCAACACTTTTGTGATTGTTCCCAACACTAGTGACAAACATTTTACGAACGCTGCAATGTCATTATTATTATTATTATTATTATTATTATTATTATTATTATTCAATAATATTATTATCATTATTATCATTATTATTATTAGGCCTATTATTATTATTATTATTATTATTATTATTTGGTGCTTACACCTTGTTTATTTGCGCCTTATAAATTGACCTAGTACTATTATTATAAAACATAGATTTTTTTTCATTTTCTAACGAACATTGCAAGTTTCCTTTTTGAGTTGAGCAACAAAGTGTTGATTGACGTCTGTATACGTGCGTCTGTAAAGTTTCCTTGAAACCCAGCCTCGAGCATGAAGAAAAGATCGCCTGCATTCGTGAATTCTGTATTTAGACAAATGTGGGGAGGAGACACTCTTAATGGAGCGACGTTCTAGTTCTCTTTATGCTAACCACGAAGATAGTATAGTAAGTGTAACTGATTGGCGTACAGTAAACCTTAAAAACTAGCGTAATATAACCACATTTAAACTCCATCTAATTTAACGAAAACAATAAGATAATTAGGCCATTTTCTAAAATAAAGTTCTCTGAAGGTTAACTACAGAATTTACAGTACACCTAATGTG